CATTACTAACTCATCCTAGCTTCACTTGCAAAGTAATAATTGTATGTATACAATTTAAAAGAATGATATTTTATGTGCATGAAAACAAAGAATTCTAAGAAGTATTACACTGGGCTTTTTTAATGTTATGAAAAGTTCAGCATACAAAACTAATACAATTCATTCTGCTAACCTAACAATTATGATGCCATTAACAAATTCTGTTTATATGATTACATTTATTACACATTTCAGAAATACTGTTTACTAATCAAAGCCTTGCTTTGTAGCTTACTACTTTTGATCTTAATTGCCAAGAAGAGATGATTTATTGCATATGAATTTGGGTGAAAGCCTGACATGTTACAAAACCTATTTAATCCCTTTTTCCCCTTTAATTTAATAATATGACTTAATTTAATAATATGAAATAAAAAAATATTAGATTACTACCCAAAAACTTAATAAAATCTGTCATATAATGTGTCATCTTTAAATCAAGCATGCCAAATGTAATCATACACAAAGCTATGAACCTTAATAAAACACATAATTAAATACTTCCAATCTAGCAAATTTTGTTCTAAATATAAATTTAGGCATTTTTTAAAAATATTTTGATTGGTCTCCAACCCCCAAAAGCATTTATATTAATCTTAATTTTCCTTTAATTTTTTGCATTTAGCTATTGTACATATTAACTGATTTAAGCTATAGAATAATCAACAAGCTTTAAAAGATATTTTATGTTGTTCTATACCAATAAAATGTGACAACAATACTACAGAGATAGTCTTATTGAGTGTTGAGTTAGCTGTTCAAAATTTCAACAATTTATATGTCCATTTAATTCAGTATTTAAGTATGTATCTACTTAATCCAGTATTTAAGTATATGTCAAATTAATTCAATATTTAAGTATATGTGAACTTAATTCAGTATTTAATAACATGTTTTCTTTACACCTGGAATAAATGTAGAATACAACACAGAAAATAAAAATTTTACTCATATTCCAGCAAAGAATATGTATTTGTGCAACTCATTATTCTCAGCAGTAAGAAGGGTACTTCTACAAAACCCTGCAATGGCACTTACTCTCAATTTCCAGTGCAAAAGTTAAAACCATAAGTAATTTATCTATTGATAAGTAAATGGCAAGTTATACAACTATTATATCTGGACCTTCCGAATTCTTGACATTTTAAAATGTGCATTAAAAAAGGTTAGGAAGGACATAGAAGTAGATCATATTATACAAAGAAGGCAGTATGAAATTCATACTTGTGGGCTGTAGGATTCATTACAATGGCTTCCAGAGGATTTCCATTACAGAATAGAAATCAGAATTCAAAGCAAGTTTCTCTTAAACACTTTGAGTTAATTATAGAAAAACTACACCCACTTCAAAACATTTAGCATAGAAATGTTATTGCATATTTACTCTCCTGAATAGTAAATGCCAAGTTAAACACCAAGTGCTCGTTTTTGTGCACTTTCAGTGTTATATTTGCTAAGAATATTATTAAGCGATTAAACTTGTTAATGAGAAATTAAGAATCAGAAGTATGCAGCAGGGGAAATGCATATCTATTTTTCATTAACGTAAATAACAATAATATTCATATTTAATGAAATACTGATGAAAATCTAATTTTGGAAGTAAAATCTGCAATTTTTAATAGTAAAACAGTGCTATGACTTAAAAGTGCTTGATCATTTAATATATTTCATACATTATATGAACTGATTTTAAATGTTTTAACATTAAATACATTTATTATTAATCAATAATATGAAGCACATTTTAAGCGCATAACATTAAAAACTATATTGAAACTTATTGTCAAATGTAAAAGGATAAAACTGTGCTTTTTAATGCTACTGAAATAAGAAATCATATTAGTTATTTTTCATTCCATCTCTTTACTATATAAAGGGTGAAAAAGGAAGAGGCAAAAAGCTTTATTAGAAGAACATCATATTAAGATATTTAACATCACATAGCTGCCAATCTTTAACTCTTAGAAACCAGGAGATTTTTGTGAGAAAACTAGGAGGTTTTCACATTGAGCAGTGATATCATTTTCAAATTAATTTCAAGCTGATTTTAATCTACTTTATAATAATGCATGATTTAGGTTATTGAACTATGTACTACAATTTTGATGTAAAATACAGTAGCATTTAATTAGACATTCTAAATATGTTCTTTAATTAATTTCATTTGTTAATTTTCTTACAATTTTACACCGAGAAAATCCCAAACAATGCACTCATTAATTCTGTCAATGAACTTAGTAATGTACCCTCTTTTTCTCTCTCTCTATATATATAAAAATATATTTTAATTATATAAGTATGTAATTATAAGTAAAATAAAATTAAACATATATTAACTAATTAAACACTGCTTGAACCTTCAAATAAAAATATACAAATGATTACAAGTAGATTAAGACAATCAGATCAAATAAATTTTTAATACAAAAAAGTTAAGGTAAAAAAAATTAATAAAAAGGTACAATTCAGATGAAATAAAATTTAATAAGAAAAACTATCTTGAAAATCACTAGAGAATGGGAATGCAATTTGTGCAATTTAATTTTCACTGATTCAATAAATTTTACTTTTTAATGAGAAACATTTTCTTTAGTGAAGACTAAAAACTAAAAACCATGAGATTTGGTGATTTACCAGAGATATGATGAAAAACCGGGAGTCTCCAGTTAAAACCCGGAAAGTTGGCAGCTATGACTCAATTAAATCACTTTAATCTTAAAACTAAGCTCTGTATTTCTGGCCTTGTAAAAATATTATAAATTAAAATAAAAAAGATAACTTTAATAATAAGAAACTGATCTCTCATTCTAATTACACACAAACACACTTAAAATTATTTTAAAATGCTGGAGCAATATTCCCCTTAATGCTATTTAACAACCATGAATTTCATTAGAAAAAAGTTAAAAATACTCACAAAAAAGAATGTCAAACTGGATTCTAAGGTAAAATATTCTGATTCATATATATATAGTATATATATATATATATATATATATATATAATATAGATTGTTGAACATGGGGAAAATAATATTAAAATCGGGAAATGCATACACTGGTATTTTCTAAGGACAATTATAACTATACGAATACTTTTGGTCCCTGCTGCAATTTTTTTTGGGGAAAAAGAATATTAGTTATATGAAGCATGCACACTCTACATTGAATGTTCTATACAAATTTCAGTATTTACAGGGTAAACATCAGTTATAAGTTTTTAATATATTCACACACTAACGATAAAATATAGACTAAACAAATGTTACAAAACAATAACATTTTTATGAATAACAATCTCATAGCAGTACTGTAAAAACAAAATCCAATTAGGATCTAAACTAAAACAGAAATCATATATATATAAATGCATAATGCTAAAACTTCAAATGAATTTCATTAAAGTTGCAATGACCTTCATTACAACCTTAATGATTGTTATGTAAGCCATTATAACCATTACAAGCATTCAAATGAAGGCAATTATGACTGCATTTTAAATCTTCAATGGCATATGAATGACCATTTCATAAAACAAAAATTTGTACACTTTTTAAAAAAAGGTTGGCCAGTTAACCGACAGTTTGAAAATATTTTTTATTTTTTAAGATACCAAATTAAACAAAATTAAATTTTCTAAATGTATTGAAATATGCTATATACTTAAGCAAAGAGAAAAAAAAATGCATGTTAAATCCGTTAAAATGCATATTAAATCCATTAGAAGAGGCGTTCTTAAGCAAAACTAAAATTTCACATCAATGGATTTCAATCAACTATTGATCACTTTTCTAAATTTCCAAGATAAAAAAAAAAGTTAGATAAAAGAATTAATTTACATGCAATTTAATTTATCAATTATATGTAATAAGCTATCATAAATCGTGCATTTAGGGGGCTAAAATTATTATTCCCAGAAAGTAAAATCTAATGAAATAGTTAAACATTTTATAAATAAAAACAGATATTAAAAAAAATATATTACTTATTTTTTTTAAAGGAAATTTATCTAAAAGAACAGAGATACATGATTACAGAAATTTATTTAAATTTGATTACAAAAGCAATTTTCCCCTATTTATAATTACCTGCCTTCAATTACATATATATTTTTATATTAATAAACACTTGCTATCATTCTATTGTCATAAAAAATTATGTAGAAAACGTTTTAAAATCATGATAAAGAAAAACAACAGTAGGATTGAGCAAATCCATCTACGAAAATAATTTTGCACAGAAGAGCTTATTGTAACTAGTACTATAAAAGGGGAAAAAATTAGTAACCGGAAAGTAGTTTTACTGGTAAGTAGAAAAAAATAGCTTATTTTAATATTGCTTGACTGTAGTTTCATATACATCATTTTCCATAACATACCATCATATGCAGTCTATTGAGAAAAGAAATTTATAAAATGTTCTGTAAACGTTTTTTCACTGTACTGCCATATATGGATCCATGATAATACATTGTTCACATTAAATGAAGCATATTCAAATACAATGGCAAATAGATAAATCCAAGAGATGAGTAAAATTAGATGTAAATAAAATTTAACCTGTACACAAAAAACTTTATAAATGTCATTCACACAATTTGACAAAGAATTCAAACATCACGACAAATGTTCAGTCACTTTGTAGAATAATTATCTGAAAATTCAACAGGTGAAAGAAAATAATATCAGTATTTTCTTGTGTTTTTGCAAAATGTGAGTGGGGGATCTGCATTTTTCAATATTTTGAAGTCATGGCACATAAAGTGACTGCTACTCCAACTATTGACTAGTGTCTCGCAGTCACCATAGTTGCAAGAAAATAAATCTGTTTATCACAGAAGGATCTATAGTAATGTCACTTCAGGCCACCCAAAGATATGAGATCCTTTGCAGTGGGCATATCGAACGGATAGGTACATTCATGGAAAAAACCAAACAAATTTCTTTTTATAATTATTATTTTTCTTGGTCACAGTACGCTGTTCATGAACGGAGTTGGTAGAGGTATATGGTAGTACTTGCAGAGTGGTCGACTGCATTTCCCTTTCACAGCATCTCGACAAACAGTTACTTTCCCATCCAGTACCTCTACATAATCTACAGAAAAAAATACTAAATTTCATTTAAATAGAAAACATTAGAAAATGACAAAGATGTGTTATGTATATAACTTTTTAATGCTTTAAAGTTAGATATCATATGGCAGAATTTCATATAATGCATAAATAAATACCTTCATCATTCTTACCTAGTTAAATATCAGTTTCTTTCACAATCATCCGTAATGATATTCTATATATTTTGAAATAATCTTCTTTGAACTATCCATAATTCTGAGATTAATTAGTATATATTTAAGAAGTTCATGTAAAAATCATGTTGTGAGCATTATAGACTCGGTGGATTTGTCCTGTTGGGACTACGTTTATGTACTCGCTACAGTTAATGTTTGAACAACTATATAGTTTCAATGAATGTCAGAAGCATTGCAGCATGTATACTATTCCCAAGGATTTTACTTTGAAAGTAACTAGATATTATTATTTTATATTTCAAATACAGCCAAATCAAATACAACCTTACAGCATTTTCTGCCAATGTTTTGAAAACTGAAGTTTTGTGAAGTAACTTTTCATGTTATATGGGTTTTAATAAAACTTTTAACTTGCTTGATTTTTGCAGTAGTGATAGGTGCACAACAAAAGACTGATCTCTAATAATTAGACTCAAAGAATCACCCAAGAAGTACATTTCACAGTCTTTTATAGTAGAACTGTACAATTATACTACTGTAATTATTCAGCTGCAAGAAATGCAGTTTTATTAAATCAGCTGTTTTAAGGTTGTTCTGGACCTTCTAAGACAAACAGAAAAGTCAAAGCATATGATATGATTTATATCCAATAGTACACTCCATTGGTCTCACAATTAATAATCCTCACAACTAAATAATTGTACGAAGTTTTCAATACATTTATTTTTCAGGACTTAATTTCTAAAATAAGTTAAAAATAATAGTAATAATAAACAGTAAGTTTAATAGCCCATACAAAGTAACAGTAATTAAAAATGCCAATAAAAATTCAAAATATGATAAATAAATAAAATTGTAAATTAAACAAAATAAATATAATTTATGAAAGGAAAATGGAAAGCAATTAATCATGAAATATAATGCTGAGGTTGGAAAAAATATTGGTATTACAAAACTTCAGGTCTATTTTATTATAGACTAAGAGTGGCCAAACTTCACTAAGAGTTGCATGTTGGAATTCAAGAGAATCTTTCCTAATCTAAAGCAAATCTAATCTAAAGCTAATCTAACTAAAGATTTTCTTTGCAAAACTGTTTGATAGAATCAGTACAATATTTTTTCCCCATTTTATATGTTTTTGACTAATTTCTTAACAAGAAATAAAACAATTACTTTAGACATTGATAAGTTTCATTTTACTAATAACTTTGTAATGGAATAAACTGATTACTTTCTTTTGAACACTGAGCAGTTTTTATTTACCGTGTTTCATATATATATTTTTTATTTGCATGAGAGCCACAATATGACCACCATTGTTATATTAAAATAGGCACTATTTAATGTGACAATGTTTGTTGATGACTATTTTGACGATAACAATTAACTGCATAATAACATTAAACGATAAAAATATTATCCTACAAAACATCAAAGGTATTTAACTAATTTAATAAAAGTACGATTAAACATATAAACACTCATTTTTATGATATATTTAATTAGGGAAAAGTCATTAATAGCTGATTGTAATTATTATGCAAAAGTTCATTTACAAAGCTGGTATATCAATAATATTTCTGGAAATCATTTGGTTGATGCCTAATCTCTTGCCCCCAGTTTTAAATGACGGAACTAGAACTATTGAGCCTTTAAGAAAAAACCTTCAGGACCTTCTTTAATTTACAATAATGTGAAAATTTCCAAGAGAATAATTATGGTTTTTAGAAGAGCTGGATTAATTATTAAGTAATATAAGCACATGCTTGCAGCATGAAGGCAATATATGATTTCTTTTACATAGCTAACTATGAAATGGATGACCTCCCCTTCCCAGTTCAAGAAAGAGTGAAAGGGCATCAGATGGCCTTGACATATCTCTTTCTTTTATTAATTGCTTCTGAAATTTTTTCGTTCACTAGGATATGCATTAGTCAACAAATAATAATCTGGAAGCACTAGTTTAATGGGACTTTAAAACATATGCAGTATCTGTTTCTCATTCAAGTTGTTTTTTAATTGACATTTTTGATAGACACAGCAGAAAAGCATAACCCAGTTTTTATGCAGTTCCCAAAGACCCTGCTGTATCTGCATCCCTTATGTACTTTAAAAAGCCAAACACTAAGGTCAGTTTTTAGAAATTTTTGTTTGGAAGTTCGTTAATCTGGACTCGTCGGGACTCTGGCGATTCCGGATTATAGATCATCAGTTTAAATCTGGTAAGATGGCATGCAGAAATTACAAAATTAAAAATATGAAACCGTAGTTTATGAAATAAAGAAGAATTATGATCTAAAGGGTATCAAAATTTACAAAAAGGAAAAGCTTAATATTTATTTGTTTACTTTATTAAAAATTTCTTTCAATGTAAGTTGTTTAAGTTGCTTCGTTTCATGTGATAATTCTTTCTCTTTAATTCTATAAACAGACATAATTTCTTCTTCAGTTACAAAGTTCCGCTGTTCAAGTCCTATAATTGCTGAGTTGAGAATACCGACTAATTTGTCAATCGAAATTTTTTCGTTTTCAATAACCTCTGCGTCACATTCTTCACTATAGGAAGCGAATTATAATAACAAGGAACTTGATTTAAATCATATCAAAGACAGAGTACATCGAGATGAAATACTACATTTAGTAAGGAATTATAAGTCAAATAAAATTTAAAAATCTGCCCTGAAGATAAGGATAGTGCTTATAGATCAACTTCCAATTCATTGCATGCTGCCGGTGTTCCCCTCCCCCTACAGCCGCAGAGCAGCGTGAAATTGATAAACAGATTTTGGAATGGTTAGAGAAACGAAGGATATGCCGTTATCCATTTTTTGCAGCAATTCCACTTTTTGTTTAATGGACTTCGAAACATACTTTCACTTTGTAAATTCTTTATATATCAGTAAATATATATCGGAAATTCTATTTTGACATAATCGAAGGTTCAAGCTTACTTTTATAAAATTCCTCTAACAGTCTGCAAAAAATAATAAGCCGGATCCAACCCGAAGATTAAGAAACAACGCAATCTGCAACATTAACTGAATTAGATAATTTTAGCTTAGCTTATACAGTCCGTTATACATTAAACGCGCACGTGCATATTCGCAGCCGTAAAGGTCTTACGCGCATGCGTCAACGCGACGCATGGTCAGAAAGTTTGTAGCTTTGAGGGCCGGATTATAGATCATTCCGGATTATGGGTGTCTGAATTAACGACTTTTGACTGTATTTAACAAATAAAAGTCTGGCCACTCTGGACAGTATAGTATAGTGAGCATTGACAATTAGTCTGAAACCAAGCACGTGGATCTGACAGAAATCAAGACTTGGCTGTAGCTGTGAAATCGTATCCTTCTCTTCACAGTTTAATATCAACTGCCACTGCAGTACACTGTAGACAAAGTTCCTGCTGATGAGATGAAGGATGTTTTGTATATATTGGGTAATATAAAAAGTCTCTTTATATATATCTAGTCCTTTATATCCGGCAACACTCACCCCAATTGTCTCAAACAAACATGTGCATATAAGGTGATATTCAGCTTTCATTGTCTGTAATGATAGTTTTTTAATTCGTTGCTCATGTAAAAAGTTATATGAATTTGAAACTGAGTGAAATATCTGAAGAAATATGCTATGTGATGCTTTTTTGCTATAAAAAAAGGTAAAAACACTGCAAAAACATCCTGAAAAAATTGTTAAGTGTACGTTGAGAATGCTGTGAGTAAACGAAGGACCCAGGAGTGGTTTGTTCGATTCTGTTCCGGAAATTTCGATGTCAAAGATGCACCACGCTCTGGTCGGCCAGTCACTGTAAAAGTCAATAAATTTTTTAAACTGGTGGAGCAAGACCGGCATGCAACCTGTCAGAAAATAGCGGAGGAGATAAACATCAACAACATGACAGTTTGGAATCATTTGGAAAGAGCAGGCTACAAAAAGAAGCTCGATGCTTGGGTGGCACATGAATTAACGCAAAGAAATTTGATTGACCGAATTACCATCAGTGAAATGCTGCTGAAACTCAATGAAATCGAACCATATTTGGAGCTAATTATTACAGGTCATGAAAAAAAAACTACCATTTGTTTTGGTCTCTGCAAAACTCTCTTAATGGTAAAAAAATTGGCTGGCCAAAGTGGAGCTGAAAATCACTTGGCCAAGTTTTTCGACGATAAACCACAGAAGTTCTACACCGATGGAATCATGAAGCTACCTGAAAAATGGCAAAAGGTCATAGATAATAATGGTCAATATGTACTTGATTAAAACTGATTTTCAATAAGGAAAATTTTTTTTTCAAAAATGAACCAAAAAAGCACGAAGACCTTCTTATATGGCCCAAATACAATTTTATCTATACCTTTTGGAAAAAGAGAAGCAAGTGAATTTTGAAAAGAATTGACAACTTTTTATTTGATCAAATATGACCAAATACATGTGAACTATCTGCCTAGAAAAGAACTGATACCTTATAGGCAGATACATAGTTAAACTGATAGACAGATATAGATATAACTTTAACCGTTTGAGTCCGGCGAAGCTCTATCGCTCTTCACTTGTCGTATGCCAAAAATACGATGCAGCGCGATAGCACTTCTCTTGTTTTGTATCGAGAATGCAAAGACACTGCTGTTGGTTAGTATACTTTACGCAATTATTGAGAGCAGTTGTAGTGATATCAGTAGCAGTTTTTTATAGGAATTGGAATTCATACTTGCCAACCTATGACAGTCAAAAATCAGGAGATCAATGTTAAAAAGACTTTTTAAATGATAAAAATATAGTTTTTAATAATGAATTAACTTTAAATAGTTACTAAGGCTTAAATGCAATCAACACAAAAATACCTTACACATAAAAAGTATTTTTATAACTTGCATCATTTAAAAAAAAAAAAAAAAAAAAAAAGACACTTTAACAGTTTTCGTACAAATGTTATGAACTGTGGCAGATTTTGCCTTTGTTAAGAAAGAAACTTCATAATTATGTTCATAGCAATTGCCACATAGGCCTGCTTTTGCTAATAAAAGTTTTTCTAATGTGTCATCATTAATATTAGATCTAAATTTAGTCCTCGTTTTCGCAACAACACTGAAAATCCCCTCGCCCTCCGTATTACTATGGGAAACTGTCAAGATGGCCAACTTAATTCTAGACAGATCACTATATTTTAAAATTCCATCAGCACCTTTCAGTTTTCCAATTAAACTCCAATGGGTGTTAATCCTAGCTGATTTTATAACTTCATCCAAGTTTTCTACTGTAAACTGCAAAATTGTGACTGCATATATCAGTGGCAACATCAATATCATCATCTTTCATGACTAAATGAAATAACACAGGAAATCTGTTCAAAAAGTACCTTATATCAGAAAAAGATGCATTTGCTAGAGCAGAAACATCAGCAACTTTAGCATGCAAAATCATTTCATCCTTGACTGGAAATTTATGTAGTATGTAATCACATACTCGATAGAAGTAACTTCTAACATGAAGATAAAACTTATTTTTGTCTTCTTCTGAAAGTTCTTCCACTACTTTTTTAGTTGCAGCTCCTATTACCAAATCTTCATCTTTCTTCTGATTTTCTATTTCACCATAAATCACATCGTATATAGAATTACAAGAAAAAACACAGACTGGTTTTACAAACTTTGATAAAATGTCTGATCATAAATCATTGATTGCAAAACATGAATTAATGGAACTCTGCTTTGTAGAACTGTATTAAGAACATCGAATGATGGCAAAATGAATTGTAAAAAAATAAAGCAAAAAGCTTTGTTAAGGTCCGAAGAAAAAAACAAATATTCGTTCTTCACAAGATAAACTTACAGTAATTGGAAAATGTTTCATGTGTTGAGCAATTTTTTTTTTTATTATTTTGAGAGAAATTTGTAACAGCTTTACGCTTATATTTTGCAGTATTATTTTGAGAACTGCCAGTTGAATTGCTGAATGGTGCAGAAATTACTTTATTTTTCTCAAACCTATTTTTAACAATGGAAGTAGTAACTACATCTCCATTTACTTTAGGTATTTTATAACTTTCAATAGAGCCTTTTATCTTAACTCTCGAAGCATTTACTACTTCTTTAAAAAATGCAAGAAGTAGGTTCCATTGATCGAGGATTTTAGATAAGCATTTCTTTAAAGACAGCCAGCGTGCACACATGTTTCAAAATTTTTCTCATTTCAGTGTTATGCAGCTGTTGGAAATGTTTCAATTTTTCCTTCCTTTTCGAACTCCTTTCAAGATAATAATAAATATCAACAATGTGTTTATCCACATTTATTGGTAAAGAAGCTGCCCCCTTTTCAGGTGCTAAATTTAAGAGGTGACAGGTGCATCTCATAATCTGCAAATCTGAATTTTCCTTTCTTAAGATGCCTGCAACACCAGTCTTCAAGCCTACCATTACTGGTGCATTATCTGCACCAAGTGCTAAGCAATTATCCAGAGGGCCTGCATTTTTCTTTTAAAGTTTTAATAATTCGCTGTGCTATATTAAAGCCTGTCGAATGTCCTTCTAAAGTGGGGACATAAAGTACACTGTACTCAATTTCTGAAGACTCTGGATAAAAAAAAAAAAAAAAATTGGATACAGTTTTGAATCGGTATTTTTGATTCCATTCATAGAGAGGCAGAACAGAGCTGTTTTAATGTAATAAATAACTGAAGATTTATTTTTTAAACCCAGTTCTTTAACAATTGCACCGGTTTTGATCCTTGCACTTGAGTATTTCTTAGCGATTTCACTATCGGTAAAAATTTTTCTAAATAAAGCTGCAGTGTTATTCGATGCATTCAGTGGCAAGTTGTGCTCCAGTAAAAAGGTAGAGAACAGACATTCCGCATTAATCACTTTTTGGTCCTTTGTTTCCGAAGAAAAATTTAATTTTTCGTTTTTTTCAAAACAACTCATGTTGTTCTTGTGTTTTTGTTTAACACACACGTTTAAGAACATCCGCCCTTCCACCATGCGAAATCGAAAATCGCAACGATGGATGGTACACATCGCAAATTTATTACATTTCCTTGAGGAAATAATGGAAGGAAAGTCAACTGTGTACGATTTTTGAAACGTACACGAGTATTTCACCTTTCTCGCAGACATAACAAAAGATGATGATTTCTAAAACTATTTCCCAAAGGCATGTGCACTCACACAACTCAGGACAAGATGAACGAAATAAGGAAAGAACATCCAAATAACAGCCTTGAGCTTGCTTTGTGCTCATTGGCTCATAAATGCCAGATGACACGCAGTGGAGCTCGATGCCCATTGCAGAACTGGAGAACGACGCTTCTGGATACATATGCTCTCGCTCACAAAGCAGAAATTCTCATCTGATTCACAAGGTTTTGTTTTAGATATAGTCTAGAGAAAATTCAACTGCTTTCAGACGTCCACAATCCCTTGTTTTTGTTCATATAACAAAGTATTATGCCAAGTTCCGTAAAAGTCGTGAAAAATATTAAGAATTTGTTTTACTGTTATTTGAAAAAATTTACATTTAAAACATAGAATTTCAATTTAACACAAATCTATGTAAGAAATTTAAATTTATTTCTCTAATTAAATATAAAAAGCATCAAATAAATTAACTCTTAAGAAGAGCCACTCCTTTCTTTCTAAATTTATTATTTGATTAATTAAAATTTAATAAGTATTTAAACATCCTGGAATAATTTTAAAACTATAAAAGACTCAGAATACCAAAAAGTTCTAAGAACCATGCATTAAATATTGTATGTTCATCTTACCAGTTTCATTAAAGCAACAGATCACAACTTCTTGTATGTTTATGCTTTTGGGGATCTGCAGTATACTTTTTATGAATACTCTTAAAAACTGAGTTATTTGATCTAGTAACAAAGTGACTGCATTGTCAAAATTACAAGTGATTAAATTTTAAGTAATGAAGCCTAGTGCTGAAGCTCATATATGCATATCTTTCCTGCTGTTCCCTATGTGCAACCAAACTTTTCTCTACATATAAACCAAATCTTCCTCTCACAAAATTTCATAATTTTACAAAATTTGTTCAATTGTTACACTGTATTTTAACTTGTATAATAATTATAGTAATTTATATAAATTAGGAAAGACAAACCTATGTAATTATAAGCTCTGAATTCATTAAAGCAATCTTTAACACATATGTTTTATTTCCTTCCAGTTGCTCATATACCTATAATTTTATCTACTTGTAACAAAGTGTATAACTATATCAGTTAGATACACATTTTCAGGAAATATGTACAGCACTGCTCTAAGATGATTTTAATGCTAACAAGCAAATTTCTATTTTGTATTTGATTAAGTCTTTAAATAGACAAGAAATGATTACTTCTGGTCTACCACATGCAATAACAGACAGGCAATATAAATACAAGTTTGTGCAAAAAATGAGAAATAATAAAACATGTAGCAAGAAGCTAGCAACTATTCTGTTATATCAAAGTGAACTTCAAATTTTCCTATATACATTTTTAACTTCAAGAAATGTTATAAATAATTTTAGTAGTGTCTCATTATAAATCTATCTGTAAATTTATTAAACAGCATTAACATAAAATGAAAACATATAAAGTAGAATCAAATGGAAACTAACCTTCTAAAAGGTGAACATAGCGACACTGTGGCCTTTTACACAGTCCGGATTTAAAATCTCGGCACAGTGGCAGGGTGTCCAGCAACTGAAATATATCAGAATATTTTAATAATGTTAAATAAATATCCCAATCTCAAAATTTCATATATATACACTGATGTCTTTAAATAAATGTTTGCTAACTTTTCTTTTAATAATAGGAAAAAAGTGCTAACATATATTTAATCACATCGGCATGTTAAGTGTATACATACATAAGAAATTGAATGTACAATACTGGAAGAAATTTAACACAATAAAAGTAAAGCTACAGAAGAGAAAGTTTTAGATAGATAGTTAGTTAAAAGCACAGATCATAAAAGTAAGAAAAAAATATACCAAAGAAATAAAAAAGCAACTAGAGGTTCTACCTGGACAGCCTTTTGCAACAGTGATTTAAAGAAAGTAAAACTACAGAGAGAACTAACAGCAAAGAATTTTTAAAAAGACTGTAAAAAGCTAACATTAGAACTTGAATTTTGTAAGTTTTCTACATATTTAAAGCATATCTGAATTTACTAAATAAATAAATACATATTATTGAGAATCAAGTTATATAAGTTTGAATATTTAAAGTAAAGAATGCATCAATATGAAAGAAATCATAAATAAGTTACCTTAATACATTTTTATTTCTTAACATAATGTTTGTTTTCATCACACAGACAGAAAAGAACAAATGCATGAAAATATAATTTAAAAACTTTTAAGCCTCTAAAGTAATTATACAAACAATCAGTGACTTAAAATTTACATAATAAGCGCTATCCCATGATATATAAAGTTAGACGAAACACACGACAATATTCCGTGGTTAGTTTTAAATACCTTTGTTTTAAAAAAAGAAACTATTATAACTTTCACAACATATCTTGATGATTCCATCTAGAAAATATTTAACAAAAGTCATCAAATTATAGATAAAAAGTATTTACTCACGAAAATTCTCAGAAAAATCATTTTACCTATACATCTATTTAATCATCCCCAAATTAACATAACTACTGAAAATATTTTCTAGATATAAACGCAAATGCTGCAAACTAAAAACAAACAAACAAGGTGGAGAGAAGAGTTCATCAATGCACTGAGATGTCTTAGTCATGGTATAAGACACACAGGGTAATTACAGAAATCCACAACTACTTTACACATGTGGTATAAATTTATTTTCAAGAGTGGAGAAAGTACTATAGCATTTAGAAATAAAAGAAATCTCAAATTCTACTTGCATCAAAAGATTTATATTTCAAAGAGTGAACCATCTGTCAGATGCTATACATCTAGATGGTAATCAAGTTCTTAAAATAATATGATTAATGTTGTTAATACATACAATGATTACAATGATTACATACAATGATTTGGCTGCAATACCTCCAGTTGATCTTCAGATAAGATTAGCACATAACTAATCTCTTGGACATACTATCTAGGGAAGAGAAGAGGAAGAAAAGTCACAGGATATAAAATCAGGTGTTTTTTGGTGCTGCCAAGCCAACGACTTGACATACATAGCAGATGGCCACCAAGATCTACAACATAACTTTTTGAAGTATGTTGCCTTTTGGGATATGCCACAGATGCTGAATATGTGCCACCACTATCTTAAAATAGTCCAGAATTACAATAAAGTATTTTAAGTTATCTATAAAACCATCTACAGTTTTGTAAGATGGCTATAAATTTAAAAGGGATAATAGTCCATTAGAAATTTTACAGAAATCTGAAATCACTGCATAGATCTATTTCAAATTCAACTTTCTCTCTTTATACAGCATCAGTTTTAAAACAGAAAACTTAAAACCACCACAGCTGATGAATTTTGAAGTAGATTTTGCTTATCACAAACGTATGTACCATTCATACGACAAGGTTTGTATACTTACATAAAAATGTTCAGAAAACTAGTTCTAGTCTTTCGAATGGTGTGGGGGGGGGAGACAGAGAGAGAGGAACTTCAATTCACACAGCAGAATTGTGAAAAACTTTGAAGTGAATAAACAGATTTGGCATAGATTTGCTTATTTTATGGCAGAAATTTTTAAAACCGAAAATTAAAAATGTTACAGCCTATCAGTTTTGAAGGTAATCTCACTAACAGTTGGAAAAGTTGGCTTCAATTATATGAAATTACCATACAGCATGTAACTTACAAAAACAAAAAGATAAATTATTAGGAATTTATTATTTTTACAATAGTTATTTTTATCAGGGATGTACGAAACACTAAAACAAGCTTAGGGCATTATTGCATATGAAAAACATATTGCTAGAAATCAAAACTGCATTCAGAAACCAGACATGACTATATAGAAACCTTTGAGAAAATGTTAAATTTTATATGCACATTAACAGGTAGCTTAAATATTGTTAATAGTATCAGAAATGCTGAAATGAAAATAAAGTTAATGCACTAGACAGAATTAAAAATGCTCTTGATATATGCAGATAAGCAGGAATAAATGCAAAGGAAATAAAAATAATAAGAGATGAAGATACTGTTATAAACACAGTGTTCAAAGAAGAGTGTACACATAAAAGAAAACTAAATATACAACACAGTGTTCAAAGAAGAGTGCACACATAAAAGATAACTAAATATACAAAGTTCTGTATGTGAAAGAATTCATGAATATTGTTTTCAACAAACTTATAAGTTTTTTGCTCCTGGAAAAATCTGTCATCATTATAAAAAGATATACCATCACTTTGCAAGCAATATAAAAGCTATATTGAAAAAAGAAACAAATTAAACTACTAAACCCAAATTTTGAGAGAGTACTTTTTTATGCAGAAATGTTATAGTTTTAATATGAAAGAATTAAAAACAAATTACAGACATAAAAATAAATTAAAATCTAATTTTCAGTTACATACAGGATCAATGCAATATGTCATTTTTTAAATAAAAATAAAAAATTCTAGGCATTTTGAATACAGAAGCCTAAAATTAAATGAGTCACATGCTCTGGGATAAAATAGTTACTTCGGAAGACGAAGTGCTTAACCACTGACAAGGGAACTACAACTATGATAAATTTCAAGCATTTATTTATTTCAAGAGTTTATTTTTACTAAGTTTGATATAAAACAATGCCTGTACATATTACAAAATTATCTAAAGAATCTAAAGCTGTGTTTAAAGGAGGAATATAAAATTTAATTAGAACAAGATATAGCACCAGTTATTCTTCCTTAGAAGGAATATATAACAGCAAACATGAGAAAAAAAAGAGAAAAAAAGTGAAATTAAAAATGTATCAATTCAGCAATCATTGCTATTAAGCCTAGTTACTAAACAAGACCAGGCTTAGATCCTAAGATTTACCGTATTTGATGACATATAAGACGCACTCTTATTTAGAAAGCCACACACAAGGAAAAAAATTTCCAATAGTCCGCGCTAATGTGGTTTTTTTTAGTTCTCACGTTTTGCGGTACCACAATAACTTAAAATGTGGTTTCTTTTAGTTCTCACGTTTCGTAAAAGTCAAATAAACTACGGCAAGCTATTTAGAACATGATATATAAATTTCGATAATGAATAAATGAACGAACGGTAAGCAATAAAAAATAATACAAAATAAAGCAGAAACAAACAAAAAACACAGATTGAAGGAAAACATTGCCTATCATGAAATTAGACTTTAATCACTTAATTATAAAAATCCTTTTCACTATCATCATCATCATCATCGAAAACAAGAATATTGTCATCACTACTGTTTCTGCAATCGCTAGTATCACCTTCTTCGAATAACGCGTCATCTTCTGTTCTGTCAAGAGCATTACTGATTCCACACTTCTTAAAGGACTTAACAATTACTTCAGCCTTTATGTCCTCCCAAGATCTTTTTACTCACTTGCACACTTGTTAAATAGAGGGCCGCTTCATTCTACCTGAGGGTGTGATGTGGCTCTCCTATCCACTTGTTGCATTGTTCTTGAACTTTTTCCTTAAATGGCTTATTCACCAATACATCTAAAGGCTGCAATTGGCTAGTCAGTCCACTAGGAATGACAGCTATCTGGGTTTTTAATTTTCTCGCTTTATTCTTTATGGTTTCAGTTATATGGGCGCTAAACTGATCCAAAACCAAAAGATATGGTTTTCTTAAGAGTCCACCAGGTCGCCTCGCCCATACGTTCCATAACCACAGTTTCATTCCAGCTTCAGCCATCCAGCCTTTCGAATGAAAATGAACAATTACACCTGTTGGAAGTTTTTTTTTCGGATGAGTTTTTCTTTAGAATATGAAAAACGGCGGTAGTTTTATGCCATCAGCACAACATGTTAGAACTACCGTATATCGGGTTTTTTCATGACCTGTGGTTTTTATGGTTATTGATTTAGACCCTTTAATACTCAGTCTTGTTGGATGGTACATCAAATGTGAGTGGAATTTCATCCATATTTCCTATTTGACCGAGCTCAAAAGAAGTTTTCTTGCGTGCATTTATAACAAACCTATGAAATGCTAGTATTTTTTCTTCATAATCTGCTGGCATTTTCTGTGCAATAGTTGTTTTTGTGTGCATTGATAAGCCTTGCCTTTTCATGAACCTGTAGCACCAGCCCTCAGACCCTGAAAAGTTCCGATTCCCATGTTTTTCTGCAAATCCTTTGGCCTCATTGATTATCATTTTGGTTGGAACATTATCCCAGATTTCCTCTTATCTATCATCCACATTTCTACGGCATTTTCAAGTTCAGGCCAAGATGGAGCTGGGCATCGAAGTTTATGTTTTTGTAACCTGTGTCCTTCACATATAAGACTTTTTTTTAGACCAAATTTATGAAAAAAAGTGCGTCTTATAGCAGTAAAATACGAACACTATTTTATGGGAACTAACTGTTTGCAATGTCATCAATATAATGACAAAAGCAAAATTACATTTTGTTTAGATGCTATTAGAGCTTTCTGAGAAATTCATTTTGATGACACTGTCTGGTAGATAAAAAATATGAAAGACTATCATTCAGCATATGTCTGGCACTAGAAATTTGTCAAAGAAAGGTAACTAAAATATTTAGATGGGATT